TAAGTTCATTTTTTTTTAGATAGTCAAACTTAAATTCCGATTTATTCCATGTCTTATTAGGTTTTTGTTTCCTTTTTTCTCTAATTTTTTTTTGGTGGAATATAAAAAGGTTCCACAAATATTGAACAGCCTTCTGTATTCTGCGCATGTTCATTTCATGTCGCAAGCCTGTCATGTCTACATTGAAAGTAACTTCGGAAATTTGGACATGACAAATACCTAACCTAATATGTGAATGTTTTTGTTTTGTTGCAGTCAATCTATGCTGCTACACCTATTAAATCACATAATAACTAAATCTGATGCTTAAATTTTAGATTCCGTCACTTGAAAATATTCCCTCGAGGATATTCGATAGTAACTGAAATCCTTAAATAGTTAGCAACTCTCGTATTGGGGTCACCCGTGGATTTTGCGGTATCATATCGGAGCAGATAGACCAGTGCTTGATTTGACTATCCTTACTCCCGTGGGATTTGTCATCACCGCAATAAATTAATGTAGCCGTGCCAAGAGGAATTTCCTATGGACCTATAGTTCTATGAAAGATAAGTTGTTTAACTGTTTAATTTTTTTTTGTTACTTTCTATTTTGTAAACTTTTCATATGCATATGATCAAGTAAATACATATGATAAAGTAAATACATATGATCAAGTAAATACATATGATCAAGTAAATACATTATGATCAAGTAAATACATTTTGATATAAAATACAATTTTGAGATATCGGGGAAGGGAAACACATTTCATGTTTTAAATAGGTTTTTAAATAGGATATCAGGAGTACTGACCAAACTCACTTTTTATATGATATAAATTGTAATAGATTTATCAATTTTGATATCTTTACAATACTGTAATTTGTATATCATTCTAGTCGAACTAAGTTAAATTTAAATTACTAACTCTTAGTGTTAAGACTTTGGCTATCATACGGACTATTCTTGGTTTTACTAATATTTCATACTTTATTTGGCCCAGTGGTAGTGACCATTCGCTTGTTGAGGGGCTATTAGGTCCTATTGTATCTTTACACCACCCACTACCACTGGTATTTAGTTTTGCATTATATGTAAATTGTTAATACTTAGCTATCTATATACACATTGTTATTAATATATTTATTGTTAGTATTTTGAGTTTTATTTCAGTTTCTACTAACAAGTATATAATATAGCAAGACAAGATTAGTATTTAGTATTTTGTATTTCAGGTTATTATCTCCAGTATCATTTGTTTCCAGTCATTTGTTAATTCAAAATCTCAACTATCGTTGAGTTGGCGCCCTTCTCTACATAGCATCCTTTTATATATAAATTTATTCCCAGTGACCTTCTTTAGTTGTATCACGTTTGATATTAACAGGTATCATTTCGTTTCTTGTCCCATTAGTTCATTATCCTTGCTATCTGCTTTGTATCCTTAAAGCCACCATTCAGTGCATTGAAGCTAGCCCGAATACTCACTTGAGATTTAGTGTCTCTTTGGCCATTTAAATTTGTTCCTCTGAGCTTAGCCATATTTGTAGTATTTTTCATCACTTCTCTTCAGGGTACTTCCGGCAATAGACACGCTTCAAAGATCATTAAAGAAATAACTTCAACACCGACGAAAGCCAAAAAGATTAGAAAGATAATTTCGTCTAAAAAAGACCACCTGGAGATGAAATATATCCCACAGGAAGCGTTATCGTTATTTGTAGAAGGTAACTTCACGAGAAACCAGTGGACCTTATTACAAGTCGGATGGAAGTACATCTACCCTTGTTACTTTTTGCTGCAAAAGGCAAAAAAAGAGCGCTACTAAGATAAAGACAAAACAACTGTTAAGGAGACCATTTTTAATGTTGAATTACAAGCTTTGCTGGATCGTACGGCTTTGCGCTTCATCCAATATTTAAAAGAAGTTTTAGATACATTAAATGATACTGAAAAGCAACACCTACTTTTAATATCAAAATGGGGATGTGATGGGTCTCACCAAACTCAATTTAAGCAAAAATTAAAAAATGTCGCAGATGATGATTCAAATATATTTAGGAGCCTGATTGTTCCAGTGAGGTTGGTTGTTTCTGTTGATGGCAAAGCAATAAAAATCATTTGGCAGAATCCTACTCCTTATTCGGTGAGATTTTGCAGACCTATCAGAGCTCGATTTGTCCACGAAACGAAAGATGTCACTAAAGAAGAAATAGAATACATCGAAAATAAGGCAAAATATCTGATAAAGACTACAGACACTGCAACATCAGTGAAAATAAGTCACAATATTTTGCTGACAATGGTGGACGGAAAGGTTTGCAACTGCGCAACGGACACTGCATCAACTATACCATGTTATATCTGTGGTCAGACTTCAAAATTTTAGTAAATTAGAAAAAGGTGCCATTAAAAAAGAATCTTTACAGTTTGGGCTCTCAGTACTCCATGTCAGAATACGCTTTTTCGAATTGATATTGCATTTAGCATATAAATAACCCATAAAAAAGTGGCAGGCCCGTACACCAGAAGACAAAAAAATTATTAAGGAAACAAAAGAGAAAATTCAGAAATGTTTTAGAGCTGAAGTGGGTCTACTTGTTGATATTCCTAAAGCAGGCTATTAAAATAGTAGAGGAAGCGCGGTAAATTCGGACCCCTGCTGATAATTCGGACCCCTAGTGTAGTTTCATACCGAGGGACTGCTGCCACCGAGAAAGCAGTGTAAATCTGTCCTTGGCATTGCCGGATATCGAGGCTCTGCGTTTGTTCAGTTAGTGACGGAGTTTAGACAGAGACGAGTGTTTTTCATTTTTGTGGCTCCCAGAATATTTGCAGTGTTCCACCTTATCATTTCCTACGATAGTTCTCTTGAAGGTAAGAACTTAATACTAATGTAGTATCTAGTAAATAAGTTGGTAGAGTGTTTAAAGTGATGGAAAAAACAATTGTACCGGTAAATTTTTGAGTGAGGTTAGTTTTAATTTGCACGTGTTATTTCCTAATTCGGACCCCTTGGAGTTTTTAATTCGGACCCCTTCTACTGCTAATTCGGACCCCCAGTAAAAACGTTCCATTATTAAAAACTAATTCCAAATATTA